GGCCAATCATTAGATCAAAAAGTTGTCCCAAAAGCCGCAAACAGACAATTGGTTGTCGTTATAAAGACTGCAGGTTTCGCACCAGTAGAGGACAACTGGGTATCGACGAACACACGAGACTAATCCACGGCAACACTCCGGCGCCCACTACTCCGTCGCCCACCGCTGCTAAACCAAGTGCTGTGGAGCGCATTGAGGGTTCCCGCGGACTCCACTGTCCGTACACTAACTGTAATTATACGACTACTTCCGGGAAGAGTTTGAGAGCGAATTTACAGAAACACATCAAAAGAACGCATCGGAATAAACCATTTAAAGGGAATACAGTTAAAGTGAATTTCGGACAAAAAGTTGGTTCCACTCAACAGAAAATTAGCAGCTTTTTGAAGAGCAAACGCATAGAGCGCTGCACTTTTAATGGTTGCGACTATACAACCATTTGGGGCGTTGGGACTCTCAACAAACATCTTCGGGCCAAACACGGCGTGCGATCCATCGCTTCACCAAAAACGGAGTCCAAACCACAGGCTTTTGGTTCTCCAACGAGACCTAAAACACAGAGCGTCCCAAACCCGACTCAAACTACAAGCATTGCTAAGCGTTTAACGGCATTACAGTCTCCCGTAAAGACCAATGGACTGCCGTTGCGGTGCACTAAATGCTCATTTGTCACCCGAAACGGGTTTTACAAACTTAAACAACATATGGCAATACATTCCCGGGAATTGCCCTTTAAGTGCACTAAATGTGATGCAAGCTTTGGACGACCTTCTGATTTAACGAATCATCAAAAAAGTTATCACAAATCAGTTGCGGTGTCGACACCACAGCCCAAACGGAATTACCAAAACAAGTGCACTGAATGTTCAAAAGTATTTCGCTGGCCATCAGATTTGAAGCGTCACGTCCTCTCTTCCCACAAGACTTCTCGACCCAATACTTATGGTAGAAATGCCACCACTTTTGAGGATTTAAAGCCAACGATTAGCGAACAACACACGTGTCCTCACGACGATTGCCGGTTCACTACCGATGATTTGGACGATCTTCAGAAACACGTTGTCATGCATTACATCAAAAAGTATTATTTTTTATTTTAAACGCTATTTTTATATTTTATAACCAATTTTATCAATTTAGGGAAAAAGGGATCAAATTGTCTGACATTGAAATAGAAACGAGTGGAACGACAAGTGATAACAATTATGTTGTGAAGCAAGAGTTTGGATCAAATGAAAGCAAACCAAAGTCTTCGCTTTCTCTAAGCAAACGAATAATGAATTCGTTGTTCAAATGCGATGAAAAGGACTGTGATTTTAGTTGCAATAACTCCGAGGAATGGGTTAAACACAACGATTGGCATCAAAGCAAAGAGAAGCCGCGTTTTAAATGCATTCGCTGTCAGAAGTCGTATTCAAAACACAGTCAACTTAAGGCACACCAAAGATCTAAACGACACGTCTCTTACGACTGCGAGTTTTGTCAGGAAATGTTCAAAACACCGAATCTTCGCGTCCAACACATGATATCTGCACAGCATATGAGTAACGGAAGCGACCCTCACATGACAAACACAGTCGTGGAGTCCAAGAGTCCGAACAATCATATGTTTGGTTCGGAGTTAATGAATATGTTATCGAAACCGCAAATCGAAACCAATCCAACAAATGCTAATTATTTTGCCAAATGTCCGTACATTAAGTGCCGCCAAAAATTCAAATTGCGAGCAGTTATGACATTTCACTTCAATAAATGCCATAAGAATATCAAAGACGAGTCACTAATTTGTTTGACTGAAGGAATGAGTCGGTGTCCCGATTGCGGCCAAGTGTTCAATAAGAAGAGTAATATGAAACGACACCGAACTAAAGTCCATAGAAACGACACAACACGGGAGGGCACGAGTCTTCTCAAGCCATCCACTGATATGTTGACAATCAATCCCGAGATATTCAACGCAACGTTTCCGTCGTTATCGTCGAGTCAATCGCTTGATCCGCAACCGAACAGCTATTTTTGTCGCCGAAACGGTTGCGGCAAATGGTTTGATTCGCCGCTTCGTCTTCGGGAACACTTGAACGCCGAACACAATCGAGAAATTAAAGCCAAAGTGGAAGCACTTGAAACCGAGTCCGAAGACTTGGTCGACGACACATCGCCTGAAGAGCTGGAAGAGGGCGTATTGCCAGAGGACATGGAAGAGGAGGGCGTATCACCCGAAGAGGCGTACGATGAAGACGACCACTCGACTCGTTGTGATATCTGTAATGTGGATTTGGGAAGCGCTCAGGGATTGGATCTGCACTTCAAATACGTTCACTTTCAGGTCTCGGACGAGAGTGAGACGATTGAAGAGAGCATTAAACCATTGCAACCATTGGCTGATCCAACTCCAGAAGTGGAGCAAATATTCGAGACAATTGTCCCGCAAAGCGATGATAATTACGATATGATAACACTTGATTGAATCGGTGATTGAATGACTACTTTTATATTCTCTTTAAATAATCTTAAGTTAAATGTTTTTCTCAACAGTTTGGATGAATTTATTCATTAATTATATACTAATTGTTTTACATATTTTAATGAATTAATTAAATAGAAGATGAATTATTAATCAAATTACCATTTCGTTATGTGGTTGTAATTCTTTAATTAAGAAAAGATTGTTATTTTATTACAACATTTGCATTGTTATTATAAAATTCCCATTTGTTTGGACACACATTTAATAATACATTAAAATTTATTTAAAACAATACATCGAAATAATTATCATTAAGTTTTGGATTGATATAAAAATCAATTAATGTTTCGGAAGTTTTAATGACTACT